ATTGCATCTCTGTACTCAGGATGAGGCAAGAGCACAAGACAGGGAGAATTAAGAGATGTGGGAAAGAAACGAAGCCCAAGAGTCTGGTGGAAATCTCCAGTCTGCTAAGATTTTGAGACAACTAAGAAAATTCCCTGTGAAGAATCTCCTCTTTGTTGTCATATTTTTTCTTTTCTTTCTTTTTTGTTCAGATCGAGTTTCAGGGAGCCTCAAGGCCACTGTATGTTGAAAGGTGGCCCTGAGCTCCTGCTCCTCTTGCTCCCACCTTCAGGTGCTGGGCCAGCATGCCCAGCAGCAGTATTATTTTCCTCGGACAGATATTTCGAAGGAGAATGTTGAAATAGCAGTCAGCCACGTCGGACAGAACTCAAGAACTTTATGTAGTCACACTCCTGCCCAGTTACAAATCCATAAATTTCTGAGAATCTCACAGCCAAGACTGTGACATTTGTTTACAGTGAAAAGATGTCTTAATTCCCTTGTGACCTAATACAGTCAGGGCTCCTTTCTTTAACCCTTTGACTCAACTTTGGTTGTTGTTTTAATCTCACCTACGGGCAACTGACCAATGCTCCTCAGAAAGTTCTCTGTGATCTCATTTAGAAAAAGAAAAATCAAAGTTCCATAAAAATTCTTTGAATTCCTCCTATAAGTGAAGCCCTCACTCATGTCAGAGATGTACTGTTATCTCCTTTCTCTCTCCTTCTCTCTCTCTCTCTTTTCCCTCTCTCTCTCTTTCTCTCCCTCAAGCCAAATCCATATTAAAACCTTTTATTTTTTTTAAGAGTCTCACTATGTGGTTCACTATAGAATTCACTGTGTAGAGTAGGCTGGCCTCAAACTCACAGAGATCGGCCTGCTTCCATGTCCCCAGGTGTTGGGATTAAAGATGTGTCCTGTCACTTCCAGCATTAAAACCTTTTCTTAATAAACCCCAACCCATCTAGGTGTGGTAGCACACACCCTTGACGCTGGCTCTTGAGAGGCAGAGGTGGATCTGTGTGAGTTGGAAGCTCTCCTAGTTGAACACAGAGAGATCCTGTCTTAAAATAAATTAAAATAAAATCAAAATAAACTTCAACCCTGCTTCATACCAACTCATCCTGAAATTCTTTCATGCCACAAAGTCAAGCATTCTGGCTTCCCCTGCGTGGAAGTGGCAATGTGGATCTGCTGACAAGAATAGTGTACAACTGAAATCAAGTGTCCAGTCACGGTGGCACTGTACTTACTCCCAGCATTCAGGAGTAAGTACAAGAGGATCAGGAGTCCAAGCCAACCTTAGCGTTTGGATTATTTCCTTCTAGAAGTTTCTTTTTAATCTTTTCAGATCACAGTTGACATCATACAGTTGAAATGAGGCGTTGGTAGGAGGGATGTGTAACACACTGCCTACATGTGAACTGCAGCTTTGAGCATCTTCACTGGTCCTGGGTGCTAGACAAGTTCTCCGTGTTGCATGCGTGCAGTTACCTCTAAGATATATCCATTACTCAGGCAGGGTGGAAGCACTGGCTAAGGGTATCAAGGAGATCCCAGAACTAAATCACAGGCTGGCCGGTTGGCATGGTCTGAGCACTGAAGCGCAGCAACTAAAATTAACTCTACTGTAGGCAGAAGATGCAGGGGGTGGGGGGTTGGGGGGGGACACAGACCACAGCCAGGCCTGCTGGCCTGGGGAAAAATACTGCTGCAGTGACAGGATACTGGTGTAGGAGGTCCTTCTCTCTATGTGTTGCTTTCATTGGTTAATGAATAAAGAAACTGCCTTGGCCTAGTTGATAGGGCAGAACTTAGGTAGGCGGGAAAGACAGAACTGAATGCTGGGAGGAAGAGAGGAGGAGGAGGGAAGAAACACCATGGAGCCGCCAGAATCAGACACGCTGAATCTTTGCTGGTAAGCCACTGCCACTTGGCCATACATAGATTAGTAGAAATGGGCTAAATCAAGATATGAGAGTTAGCCAATAAGAGGCTAGCGATAATAGGCCAAGCAGTGATTAATACAATTTCTGTGTGGTTCTTTCAGGGCTAAGCTAGCTGGGTGGCCAGGATGAACAAGCGGGCCCTCTCCCTACAACAGGAGACTGTAGAAAGTATGACAAGAGCAAATTCCAAGGTGTCTCCTCCTTTAGGTCTTAGCTCTGAGACATCCAAGATTCAATGTAAAAGGACTCCCTTATTTCTAAGGAATGAATTTTCCACCGTCCAGCTGCTCTCTTACATATCTAATTAGCAGACACTGGAACTTGCAAATACCAGAACAAGTGGCCTATTACAGCCCAGGACCTGGATTCATTTGTAGTCCTGGGGAAAACAAAGACTCAAATTAGGTCAGCCAGGGTACCTTCTGGCACTCACGAGTTTCTGAAAAGTTGTCTAACCAAAGTGTTTTCACCTCTTTTCAAAGATCCTTTCTAAGGCTGCAGAGATGGCTCAGTGGGGAAAATGCCTGCTACTGTAAAAGCATGAGGACCCGCATTCTAATCCACAGAACCCACATAAGAAGCCAGCAACTGAGTGTCTGCAATGCCAGCAGTCCTCCAGGAAGGGGAGAGGGGAGACGGGAGATTCCCAGAAGCGTGCAGGCCAGCTAGCCTGGTGTGCAAAGCAGAAAAACAACAGACTCTATCTCAACCAACCCAAAACAAGGTAGGAGGTAAGGACCGTCCCCTGAGTGCTCTGTGATGTGCAGCACGGATTCTAATTGTTTCTAATAATAACAACTCGGTGTCAGCTATCAGGGGCAGAAGCTGAAGGATCAGAGAGGCAGAGCGGTCAGCCACTAGAGAGCTCCTACCTCTCTACCAATGCTCAGACCAAAGGAGCAAACCTGTCTCTGCGAATCCTCAGGCAAATTGCTGTCTTTACAAAACCCCTAGGACTGCATCCTCAGACTGAATCCCCAGACTGCATCTGAGCTCCTGTCTCCACCTCCCTAGTGCTAGGATTAAAGGTGTGTGACTTCCAAGTACTGGGATGAAAGGTGTGAGCCACCCGCTACCACTGCCTGGCTTTGTTTCTCTCTGACACTGGATCAATTTAGTGTAGCCCAGGGTGGCTTTGAACCTGTCTGCCTCTGCCTCCCAAGTGCTGGGATTAAAGGTGTGTGCCACCACTGCCTGGTCTCTATGGCTACCTGGTGACTTAGCTCTGCACTCTGATCTTCAGGCAAGTTTTATTGTTGGATTACAAAAAAATTATCACTACAGTGATATGTGTATGCCAATGCTCACATACAGGACACACGTATATACACATATGCACATACATGCATGCACATGTATACAAAGCTGCTAAGTTGAAGAACTGATTCTTCAAGATAAGTCTTTTTTCCACTCAGCGGATGAGTTCAAACAGGCTTCTGAATTACCTTGTAGGCTCAACTGTTTGTGCCTTTGTAAAATAAAATTCTGTATATTTTATAAAATTTTTCCCTCTTTCTTCTTCTTCTTCTTCTTCTTCTTCTTCTTCTTCTTCTTCTTCTTCTTCTTCTTCTTCTTCTTCTTCTTCTCCTCCTCCTCCTCCTCCTCCTCCTCCTTCCTTCCTTCCTTCCTTCCTTCCTTCCTTCCTTCCTTCCTTCCTTTCTTTCTTTCTTTCTTTCTTTCTTTCTTTCTTTCTTCCTTTCTTTTTCTGAGACAGGGTTTCTCTACGTAGTCCTGGATGTCCAAGAACTCACTCCATAAGCCAGGCTTGCCTCGAGCTAAGAGATCATCACCTTTGCCTCCTGAGTGCTGGGATTACAGGTGTATGCCACCATGGCCTGACNAACTAGGATTATATCACGGTTGCCTAGGAGCTCAGAGCCCCTTTCCTAGGGCTCACAGGAATAATCTCATATTTGTGCTCTCTTTACTCGCATTTTAGCTTCTGAACCAATTCCCTCAAGGGAATATTGCAGAAACTCAGATCAAGTCCCTCCACATGTATATGACATATGTATAAATCCCATGCTACTGAAAGTTTTTGGGGCTCTAAGCACCTCATGCCCATGTGATGCAGGGCAATGCTATCAGACTCTCTGGACCCTACAACGGCATTGCCCTGCAGCGTCGCGTGCCACAGCATCTGGCACAGGATTCCTGCCCGAGAAAGGCCCGAGGAGCTCTGATTGGCACTCACCTCATTGAAGTCGCCCACTCTGGGGATGTGGTTCTTCCTGGTCTTTCCCATGACCGCTCCTGAGTTGGAGATCACCACAGCTGTGTTCCACAGAACTCCCCCGTGATCGCGATCTCGTTCCAAAATCGGAGACACCACCACCATATTGTGCTTCTTTGCCAGCTGGGGGAATTGAAAACCATGAAGTTCCTCTTTCAGGTGAATTATTACTTCTTTTTTTAAAACTGGAGAGGAATTTAGCGATGTTCCTAAATAGTTAGACTTGGTTTTTGGCTACTACTTAAAGCAGTGTTTTTAAAAAAGTACTAAATGTCAGCGTTGTCTTGATACCTAGAGCTGGTTATTAAGAATAATCAATAACAAGGCTGGAGAGATGGCTCAGTGGTTAAGAGCATTGCCTGCTCTTCCAAAGGTCCTGAGTTCAATTCCCGGCAACCACATGGTGGCTCACAACCATCTGTAATGGGATCTGGTGCCCTCTTCTGGCCTGCAGACATCCATGTAGACAGAATATTGTATACATAATAAATAAATAAATATAAAAAAAAAAGATCGACAGTAACTCCCCAAATCAACCTTGGGTCTCTATACTCATACACACATACCCGCAGTTATAGTGCCCCCCTCCACATGTGCCTATGAGCATGTAGACGTGCGTTCACACACATGCACAGCACAAACAAACATGCAAAAGGAGAAAGAATAAAAAGATGGAGGATCAAGTTGGCAGATCCTCGTTCACGTCTTCAGATGGTGGAAGATGGCAGAGCTTTAGCAGAGGGCCAAGTCCCTCCAAGAGTTCTCAACTCCTTCACACCAGAGATTTGTCTTAGTCTGGGCCTGCGTGCACTCATGGGGATCCAAGCATGGACTCTTACCTCTTCTTGCAGCAAGTGTCCTGGCATGCTGGCTCTTGGATGCTGAGGAAATCTTCCACGGACTGAAAATGGTGGAGTCTGGGACAGCAGGACAGGGTAGGCTCCTGCTGGTACTCAATCGTTCCCTGTACAGCCAACTCCCAAATAGCAACACAGAAAAAGAAGTTAGGTGTTGCCCCAAAACCTTCCCTGTGCCTTTTACACAGGATGGCTGTCCGGGTTCCCCCTTGCTGTATGTGTCTGCTCCCAAAGCTGCAGATTTAAAGGCTTTGCTGACTGAATGATCGGTCCTATTTCCTCACAGATCTTTTATCTGCTGCCAATAAGGGGTAAGGTGAGCAGAGCTGGCTGGCCTAAGCGTAACCCCAGGCTAAGGTGAGGGTGGGAGAGGCCAGGAACCAGGGTACAGTCAGATGACAGCTAAGCCAGAGTGATGGGATGCCTTAGATGCCAACATCCCAATGACCCCCACCCCTGCTCTTGGTCCAAGCTTGCTAATGGTGTTTTGTCTACTCTGGCTTTGTCATTCGTCAGAGAGAATTTGGTACCACCTCAATTCACTGCTGCCATTGGTTAAGCACAATCTGCTGGTCCCTCTTGTGTCATCCCTTGTTCTTCCTCCCTCCTGGCCTCCACCCACAACCTTGTGACTTCAGGAGCACATGGGTATTCCTCTCTAGAAGAGGGGGAGCTCATAGTCCAACAGTGAGGGTTGGGTCCAGGTGGAAGGAGACTCCACACTCACCACAAGCCCTGGAGCAGATACACAAGACAGAACAGGAAAGCAAGGTGCTGCCCTTCACCTGGGATTCCACCCCAGCCTGTGGGAAGGGGAACCTAGTCTCCAGCTCCAGGCCAGGAGCCAAAGGTGTGGGTGGAACCTTACCTTTCCCCTTAGCTACTGCTGTGCAGAAGTTGCATACCAGTGGCCCAAACAGCTCTTGACTGCCTACCGACACCAGTACTAGGAACTCTGACGACATCTTTAGACAAACACACAGATCCGTGTGTCTCCATATGAACTGGTAGAGCCGAGTTAGCCCAGAAATGTATTTCCCAAAGTTCTGGAAGCTGCCAGTCTAGCGCAGAGCACCAGAAGACATACAGTGATATTCACAAGCAGGATACAATCTTTAAAAATTTTAGATGTATTAATTTTATTTTATGTGTATGAGTGTTTTGCCTGCATATATGCATGTGCACCATATGTGAGCTTGGTGAGGAGGTCAGGATCATCACATCCCCTGAAACTGGAGTTACTGATGGTTGTGAGCAACCATGTGGGTGCTGGGAACTAAACTCTGGTCCTTTGCAAGAGCAAAACCTGCTTTAAATCGCTGAGCCATTTTTCTAAGCCAACAGGACACAGTCTTATGTGTTTATGTGATCTCAATAGCTTAACCCAGTTTTATAAAAGGAAAAAGGTAAAAGAATCACCAGGCTGAGCTCCTAGTTTTGGAACTTGCTGAGATACCAGCTTACCCTTGGGCAAGTTACTCTGTGTGTTCAATTTCATCATCTGTGTGATGGGAATGTTACTTTGTTTTGCAAATTTTCTCTGACCATTTACTAGATCAGTACAGAGCTAGAGTTACAGTGAGCAGCAATTGTTACTATTGTACTTACATTGTAGACCTCTTGACTTAAATCTTCAGATTATTCCGTGATTTTACCTGGAATGTCTTCTTTAGATCTAATCCCCTTTCTGCTTAGCATAATCTAAGTCATGTTACCAGTTCCAGCTCCTCTGCTGTTGCTTTATTTTGATTCCTGAGAAGATATTATCTAACCCGAGCCCAGGATGGCCAGTCTTGAAGCACAGCCTTCCCAAGTCAGCCTCTCCAGTGTCAGGATGAGAGGTGTGCATTGACTTCACACCCAACTTTCTCACCAATCTCCGCACTTGATCTTAGCCACAGGGTAGAGGCACAGTAACGTCTACTGATTTCTAAAGACACTCCACAACTTCCCACCTGTCCAAGTCACTGTTCTACTGCTGTGAAGAGACACCATGGCCACAGCAACTCTTATTTAAAAAAAGAGATCATTTCATTGGGACTGGCTTATGGTTCATAGGTTTAGCCCATTGGCATCATGGCAGGAAGCATGGTAGCACACAGGCAAACATGATACTGGAGAGTAGCTGAGAGTTGTACGTCTGGGTCCGCAGGCAGGAAGGAGAGAGAGAGAGAGAGAGAGAGAGAGAGAGAGAGAGGGAGAGAGAGAGAGAGAGAGAGAGAGAGAGAGAGAGAGAGAGAGAGAGAGAGAGAGAGACCATTGTGTCTGGTTTGGATTTTTGAAACCCCAAAACCCATTTCCAGTGATACCAGTGATACACGTCCTCCAACAAGGCAATACCTACTCCAAGAAGACTACATGCCCTAAACCTTTCAAATAGAGCCACTTCCTATGAGCCTACAGGGGCCATTTTTATTCAAACCACCACACTAATATCTTCTACTCTATTCGTTCCATAAAAATATTACTCATGATCCTGCAGATTTTACTCATAGGTATATACTCAACAGAAATGAAAACAAATATACACCTGTGTATGCACGCACATGTGCGTGCACACGCATGCACACACACACACACACGTGTCAATGAATTTTATAGCATCCAAAATGGAAGCAACACAAGTCTTAATCCACTGAATAAAGGATAATCATAAGTACTATGTCCACAAAAATGAAGTATTATTTGCCATAAAAAATGGAACATACGCTAAAACATAAATGAGATTTGAAAGCCAAATGGTTAGGGAAAGAAGTCAGGTACAAAGAACCACCTAGTGCATAACTGTGTTTATAGAAAATGTTCAGAAAGGACACTTTGTAGAGACAGAAAGTAGATTAGAAGTTGCCAGAAACTTAGAAGGAGGTTAGAGATGGTACTGGCTATAGGGTAATGGCCAAGGGGAGCAGGGTTTCTTTGAGGGTGTGGGAATTAATCTATGAATAAGCTAAACATCACTGAATCATTTTATTGAAACAGGTGAATTCTATGTATAGAGATTATTTCCCTAATAAACAAACACAGAAAGTCCTTCCAGCTACTGTTGGTGTAGCAACGGCAAGGCTGAGATGATCAGTTTGCCTATACAAACAAGCACACTGTGCACATTGTTATGCAAGCAGCCTCACGGATCTCCCCAACCACGTGGAGTCAGAAGTCAGAGCTGCAGAGACTGCCCTCATTACCCGGGACCTCGGAGTAGAGAGCAGTGTAGGGAAGGAGGGATGGAAGCCAGCGCTGCTCCTGGCCCAGGTCAGTCCTAGCTAGTTCTCTGGGTGAGAAGAGACATGAGACATGGACCCCTGGGACTGAAAGCTTTTCCCTATCCAGTGATCGAGGCTAGGAAAGACAGCTGACGACCAGGAAAGATGAGTAAGTGTTTTGTACCCTGTTGTGTCCAGAAAGAGTGCAGCCATTGGAATAGAATTGCTAATACGTTCTTTAAATGAACTTTAGTCATTCAGGTGTGCGCGTGTGTGTTTTGCAGGAAAGTGGGGGATGAGAATGAGGATTCGAAAGTCACAGAATCCAGCTGTGTGTGTGTGTGGCTAGGGTGGGGGGTGTCAGAGGACAACATTCCGAAATTGGTTCTCTCTACCACGTGAGTCCTAGGGATCAGATTGAGGTCACTTGGATTAGCAGCAAATGTCTTTGCCCTCTGAATCCTCTTGCCAGCCCTTATCAAGTACATAGAACTTCTGTAGGACAGAGAGAGAGAGATGGCTCAGCAGTTAAGAGCACTGGCTGTTCTTCCAGAGGTCCTGACTTCAGTCCCCAGCAACCGCATGGTGTCTCACAACCATCTGTAATGAGATCTGGTGTCTTCTTCTGGCATAACACTGTATACATAATAAGTAAAAATAAGTAAATCTTTATTTAAAAAATTACCAGGCAATAGTGGTGCATGCCTTTAATCCCAGCACTTGGGAGGCAGAGGCTGGCAGATCTCTGTGAATCTGAGGCCGACCTGGTCTACAGAGCAAGTTCCAGACAGGCTCCAAAGCTCCAGGAAAGCACTGTCTCAACCTCCGCGCCCCTGCCCAAAGACCTACTTCTACTAAAGAGCTCCAGTTCTTCATGTTGGCCCACACAGTTAAAAAAAACAAAAACAAGGGGCTGGAGAGATGGCTCAGCAGTTAAAAACACTAGTTGCTCTTCCAGATGTCCGGATTCAATTCCCAGGATCCGTGGCTTACAACCATCTGTAACGGGAGCTGATGTTCTCTGCTGGCATGCAGGCATACATGCGGAGCCCTCATACGTAAAAGATAAATAAATAAATTTTGGTTTTTGTTTTTTGAGACAGGATTTCTCTGTATAGCTTTGGAGTCTGTCCTGGAACTCGTTCTGTAGATCAGTCTGGCTTTCAACTCACAGAAGTCTGCTTGCTTCTGCCTCCTGAGTTCTAGGATTAAAGGCGTGCACCACCATCGCCTGGCTATAAATAAATAGTATTTTAAAACAAAAACAGTATAAGAGCTTTCCATTCTGAATATCTCTCCTCCCCCTCCACCCCAGTCACTTTGAATCAGGTGCCTGCTGTCCTCTGCAGGAGGTCCGTTAATCATTCAAGAAGTCTTCCTAAAAGCCAGCTACACTTAACCTTTTTGAAGTAAGAGTAAGAGACAAAGGTATTTTATTATCTGCTTCCTTCCTCAGATCCCTACAAAGGCTCCAGTCATTCTCCCAAACCAACAGCCATCTTGGATCTCAGGAAGAGCAGAGATGCCTTTAGAGACTGCCCCCTCCCCCCAGCAGAAATAGTCACCTCTTGGGAACTGGGGACAGGGACTTATCCATGACTACCTTTCAGAACTAGAACTGACGTACTGATAAACTGAACCATAGTTTAATCAAGGCTTTGTAAGTATATTCCTTCTTCTTCCCCCATCTCAATCCTTCCTGTATTTTTAGCTAATGCCAACTCCAGTACCTCTAAGATGGGCTGAAATTCTCAAATTCTGTCGTTCCAAACTGGCCCCTTAGATTAAAATAACTTCTCATCTTTTTCACCACTGTGTTTGTTTTCTTGGGGTGAATGGCCAAAGCTGATGTTCTACAACCCAGAGTTGGGATTCTGGCTTAAGACTGCTGTAACAAAATAAGAAGAGGCTTTCTAGCCCGTGAGCCTATAGACCAGACACTGTGACTAAGCATGGGATGTCCAGGGATCCCAGCCACAGGGGTAAGAACGGGCCTCCCAGGAACTTGCCACAGGCCCCTCCATGTCAGC